TATTGACGTGTGATGAATTTGATTATTGACGTGTGATGAATGTGATTATTGACATGTAATTAATGTGATGCTTCGTACGTAACACGCGTGATGATTCAATGGTATCTCCTTCCAAGTTGGACAATGAGATGACGTCACATGCTTTCTGATGTCATCACCTTGGCCAAAAAAGGCATACGTTTTGGGAAACCCTTTGATCAATTTGTCTCGTTTTCTGTTGGGCAAGTCTCTTGTAACACAAGTCTAAACTAAAGTTGTATGCATATTGGATCATTTTTACGAGAGCAATTGTGACCCCCAAGTTACAGACAGGCAGAGCTGAAGTATTAGCACCTCCAACCTTAGCGACAAAATATATTTGTTTAATTCTCTACCTGACCTCCGCCCTTCCTCTATTACCTATGTGTGGTTCTTATAATCCTATTTGCAGGTGTATTGAACCAGACCGCTTTTGGAACTCATAGGAACACCTCTGACGTATGAACAAATCAGCTCCAGGACAGATTTGTACTCCAAAAAGAAAATAATGAAAATGAGATGTGTGTGTGTGCTTGTCCAATCAAATTCCCAGGAGTTTAAAAGCGAGAACTTTAAGTCATAGATCGATAGCCATTACAGTGCAGTAGTAAATAAAAGTTTAGCACACCGTGGCAGCCAATCATCTCGCTGCTAATATACCAAGGTTATATTACACATATATAAGCATGTCCAACCTTGGATGGCACATTACAACTAAACTATTAAAACTACTTATTATTTTACCAGGTAAGGCTCACTGAGCTATATAGCTCTTTTTCAGAAGCGACCTTGCTATCACAAGTGAAAACTCAACGAATTAGATTACCACGTGCAAATTTGTAGCAGCCAAAAACTAAACATTAATCTTGCCATCCCGATTGCTTGGTTGCCGATTGAAAGCATCCCAGACATTATTTACAACGCGTGGCCCTCGTAACATCAGCACCAACGTCAAATGCCAATGTGCCTGCAGGAGCTCATATTTCAAACGGTCGTTTGGGTTGAATAAAAGACTCCTTGAAAACAAAGCTCCATGAGCGTCTCAATCTTATGACAATACCCATTGTGCACACGCAGAGCAGCTTTTCCACTCCAGCTGCTGGATGAAGGCCTCCCCACACCGCACGATGTGTGAGGTTTCATCCGACCATCCTGCACCGCGCGGGTGCCGCTGTGTTGAAGGCCAGGAGCGTAGACATGGGGGCATTGTAATAAAAATAACAATTGACATTTATAATGCGCAACTCATCCAGGGATCTGGTTACAACAATGTATTTTACGACATGTAATTGCTCATTATTTGGTTATACTGCATTGGCAGTGCTGCAACAAGCACATTGTTCAATGAAACAGTGTGCCTTCAAAGGAAAGTTATATAATTCGTGACGTTTTGGGAAATTGACCTTCTTCATGGCACACAAATAGAGGCCACGTGATATGAAGAACGGCCATTGCCCAAAACGTCACATATTGTATAATTTTCCTTTCAAGGCATTGCTATTAATGCATCCATTGATTTTCTTTTTCATGTGTTTGCAAAGCTGCCTGATTCATCCATCGGAGTATACTACGACCATATTTAATTACTCAGAGGTAAAACAGCCAGAGCAATCATCGAGAAACTCTCAAGGTTGAAGAGCGAGAACACGTTAGCACTGCTATCCTGGTGTTATATAAATGAACCACCGTTCATCTCTTCACGTAAGACAAAAGATGCTTTAGTTCAACAGCCTGTGGGTTTTCCAGACCCTGAAGCAAGTAAACCCCAGGGCGATTTAAGACCTGTTAAACATCATCAGCGGTCAGACTTATTAAACAAACACAACTGGGTTGCCAGATATTCATGGCAAAAAAAAGACACCCTTGGTGAATGCTAAAAGTAAGTGTACATTTTCATTGGCTGGAAATGCTTATGTACTGATAGACGAAAAATATACGATTCTATGTGGATATACGAAATGCATGTTTATTGTATAAGTATATGATGACTATGGTCATGTTTGTTGTTGTTCTTGTAGCGCACGGAGGCATGCGGTGCGTGTGACGTTTGGCAGCAACCTGGCATATTGACTGAGGACCTGAACATCGCACACCAGAACCAACATTTCTCACGCCACTCTCATAACTGACAGAAATTATTTTCTTTATATCCTGCAACAGTTTTTATTTTATTTTCGTAACTGATATTTAATTCACATTACTAAACAGCAATACAAAAAACAGTGAAATAAATAATATAATTGGATCTGGAAGTCTCCACGGATTTCAATATGGGACAAGCTTGAGCTGAGTGCCACTGAAATAATTTTATTTGATGTACATGTGAGTCCCACAATGAACCGAGTCTGCTGTAATACATTTAAACACGAACGTTTGTTTTTACGTAATAAGTGAGGGCTCATTGAGACAAATTACTTTTCAAAAGGAGACACGAGATGCTATCTAAAGTATTTCGTAAATATATCTCAATTCAACAAAAAATTTAATGGCACGGTAATTATAATATAATTCATGACGAGGAAGAACTGCCTATCAAAATAAAATTACTGTGTTTGCAAAAGTAAAACCGCGTGGATGTTAAGGCAATGATGTGGCAGTGTCCGTAGCCAAGTGCCCCATCCCCTCAGTGTCACCCTGACATTCAAGCAGTTGCAAAAACAAAGCAGCCACTCATCCCCATTATTGAGGCGGGCCATTAAAACGATTAAACGTTTCGGGAAATAACTGATAATGATGATGTCACTTTCATCAGTGGGCTCGAAACGTTCAGATTATGAGTTCATATCATGAGTTTTGCGGGGGGGGGGTGAATGCCCCCGCCAAACTTGACACCTTTATTAATTTATTTTCAGTAGTTTACAATTAAGATTAAAAACATAAAATATATGCACCCGTGATTCCTCATGTGAGAGTGAACCCCTGTCCCTCTCCCCCTAAAATATAGAAGTCAAACGCCTATGGTTCATATCCGAATTGGTTGATTCAACTCAACCAAACTATCCATCCTCCAGGATTGTTAAATTGGCTACCGTCCGATCTGCAACTATGTATGTGATGTTAATTAATCGTCTTTGACACTGTAGGTGGTCAACCGTGTTCATCGGAGGTGTGGAGGGGGGCGGTGGAAGGAAAATAAACTAAACACAAAAAGCAGTTCTAAAAACTACTTTGCACGAAGGGAAGTCAGGTGGGGGAAAGGCTAGTCCCGAAAGAGACCGGTTCCTAAAACTAGAATGTCCTGTTGATTCAGTTTCATTGACTCACTGGTGCCGGTTAGGCGTGAGCGTGTGTACTGCAGTGTCACTTAAACTGACACACAGCAGATGCGTAATACATTACCTGCTCAAGTGATGGATGAATGATCTCACCTGCAGATTTGAGTAAAAAATAACTATGAATACTATGTTTTGAAACATGATGATGTTATTGGCAGTGGTGTACAAGCACTTCCATCCTGCCTGTCGTTGATACTGTTATTACCCTCCGACTCTCTGAGTTATATTACCCTGTTGGATGCCCTTGCATCAACGGGCTGGGGTATCACTGACATGGCCTCCTTTTGCTCCCTTGGCCTGGATGTTTCGATGTTTCGATGGCTCTTGCTGTTTCATGGGCTGTTTTGTCTTACTGCCGCAGCCATCATAACCCCGTTACACGCTTTCCTCTCACAGCGCGGCAGCCAACGCTGCAGAATCCTGTACCATTGACCATTGACATGCTATATTTCTCACATTAGCATCACTAACCCAGCTTCTCTCTACCTTCCATCTATTACCTGTGCCCAAATCCCCCCTCCCCCACTCCTTGCCTCCCCCCTGTCTCACAGCGCAGCAGCCACCGCTGCAGCATCCTGTACCATTGACATGCTATTTTTCTCACATTAGCATCACGTTGTCATGGTCTTGCTCTTCCTGTAATCCCTCTAGCTTGCAGCACTCCCCCCCCTCTCTATCTCTCCTCCCTGACTCCTTCCCCCCTCTCTTACCTATATAGCCTCTTGTTACAGCATCCCTTTTGCCCACTTCAGCAATTGTTTCTTACTGTGGTTGCGCCCGAAACGTCGTGATTTTTTTTTCTACCTACGTGACTTTACCGAAAGAACCAAAGAGTTTGTAAATATATGGCAAGCGGTTGTCAGTCCGGGGCTGGCATTGATGCCAGCAGCTCGAGTTGACCTACACAGGGCAGGCACCAGCCAGGTAGACACAGTGGCATCTTTGCCCTTGGTGGCAATGCAGCAGCAGCAGACAAACTTGGTTCCTGCCAGAGGAACGAGTCCTCTACACGAAAAACTATCAATGAGAATGAGCATCACCCATGGTGTTGATTCTTTCTGTTGCTCTTCAAAAATGGGAATATACCCTAGTAATGCACTGGTGAGACGGCAAGACAACATGACATTTTTATTGTGAGTCGTGGGTAAATGAACATTTTGATTTGAAGCTTTCGTGTCTGCAGGGATCCATACTCTTTGGTTCTTTCGGTAAAGTCAAGTAGGTATAAAATAAAATAATACACCTACGTGACTTTACCGAAAGAACCAAAGAGTATAAATGACCATTGTTCCTCTTTACAGAACATGTGTTATATATTATACAGTAGCCCTGATACAATTAACCATACTCTATACACTCGTAGCAAATGAGATTTCCCCATCTTAGATAATTATCAGCGTCATATATAATACAGTACTCGCAAAAAAATCACCAAATCGATGAGTTTCCTTGCATCGATGGGTGTGGGTTTCGCTCGCGACTTTGTGCGTTTGGGAGTCCCCCGGGTGACGTGAAACACAAACTCATCGCTGCCAAAGTCGTCTCGCGTTTGTTGCAGGAAGTCGCACGGCTAACTCTGCCTGCAGGGGGGAGGGAGGAGGAGGAAGAGGAGGAAGGGAGACGGTGGGGGAAGCCTTTTGAGTGCTGTGACAGCCGCAAGTGCAGGAGGTGGTGCTGGTGGCGGTGGTGGTGGCGGGTGGGGGGTGATGCTGACATGGCCGAGACACGCGAAGGAGGAAGGTCACGATGGTGTTCCTACTTCGCCGTCAAGCTCATGCTGGTCACGTACGCCTTCCTGTGCTGGGTGAGTCGGCGACGCCGGGTTGTTGGTGGATACACGCACACACACGTACACATATACACACGTGTACACACACACAGAAGCACACACACGTACACACACAGGTGTACATACGTACACACACACGTACACACACACACAAAGCACACACACATGTACATACGTACACACGTACACACACACACACGTACACACACACGTACACACATACACACGTAGACACACACGTACGTACACACACACACGTGCGTCTGTGCGTTGTAGGTGCGGTGTGTAAACATCGCCACTGGGGAGACGAAGGCGGCCGGGCGTGGTGCTGTGTTCTGTGGTGGTGGTGGTGGTGTGTGTGGTGGTGCTGTGTGTGGTGATGCTGTGTGGTGGTGGTGGTGCTGTGGTGGTGGTGCTGTGTGTGGTGATGCTGTGTGGTGGTGGTGGTGCTGTGGTGGTGGTGCTGTGTGTGGTGATGCTGTGTGGTGGTGGTGGTGCTGTGGTGGTGGTGCTGTGTGTGGTGATGCTGTGTGTGGTGGTGGTGCTGTGGTGGTGGTGCTGTGTGTGTTCTGTGGTGCTGGTGGTGCTGTGGTGGTGGTGGTGGTCCTGGTGGTGCTGTGTTCTGTGGTGGTGCTATGGTGGTGCTGCTGGAGTGTTCTGTGTGTGGTGCTGCTGTGTTCTGTGGTGGTGCTGTGTGTGTGGTGGTGCTGTGTGTGGTGCTGCTGTGTTCTGTGTGTGGTGGTGCTGTGTTCTGTGTGTGGTGGTGCTGCGTGTAGACGGACGTGATACAGAGACGTCCACAACGCGTGTCTGTCCGCGTGTGTGTCACGTAGTGGGGAGCGGTGGTGCAGCGGTTAGCGCAACGCTACGAACCCGGCGATCCGGGTTCGATTCCCGCTCACGGCGAACAGCGGTGACGATTATCTTGAACCGGTCCTGGGCCTCCCCCCAGGTCGACTCAGCCTCAAATGAGTACCTGGTGCGGTGTGTAAACATCGCCACTGGGGAGACAAAGGCGGTCGGGCGTGGTGCTGGCCACCCACCCTCTCGTGTGCCGTGACGACCTTCATAGGTGCTCGCTAACAGCACTTGCCCCTACAGTCTAAGGATATACGGATATACATCGTTCAGCTGTGCGTACTGTAATGGTCTTAATATCAGGGTCTCCCCTCCTCGTACAGTGGTGGTAACGTAATGCGTGTTGTGAATTGCTTCCTGAAAGAGGCTGTGTATATGTTTTAGCACAAACCGACGCGTATCCTACAACACGCTGTAGTGTACACGTGTTCATTCCACTCATCATACTACAACACTCATGATACCTTACACACACATGGACGCTCTTCGCAGAGCACGTGCTTGTACCACGGTGGCTAGGAGATGTTAACTACCTCGCCTGGTATACAGGAGGTCGTGGGTTCAATCCCTACCCTTGACGCCCGCTTGCATATTTGGAGTTTGCGTGTCTCTCTCTGTCTTTCTCTGTCTCTTCCCTCTGGTCGTGTGGATTTTTCTCCGGGTCCTCCAGTTTTTGCCTTCATATTTAGAAACATTGCGTTTTGAGTATTTGGCTGCTATGCATTTCCACGTGATAAGCCACTTCGTTGAACTATCACTGGTGGCCGGGTCGCTCAGTGTTTAGTTTACATACTCAGTTGTATACTAATACACAGCCTGTGTGCCTAGCCTGGCACAAGCGCCATGGTGACATCACCGCTGATTAGTCGCAAGTGTCGGTTGATGTTATATTGTAAACAACCTTCAAGTCAGTATCAACAACTTTATTTAAGTCAAGATTAAACTTTATTTAGACTGCAGCAGGAATCCGATGAGCCATGAAGCTCTTTATTACGGATGTCCATCTATGGGCGGGTAAACACGTTACAACAGCAAACAAGATTTTAAAAAACTATAGGTGGTGCAACATAGAGAAAATAGCAAGTTACAAAACAATAATATTTGTATAAATACTTCTTACAGCTGTGTAAAACACACACAAACACACTTAAGGGGTAGTTGTGCATTATTTTTGCGGTTACCAGATGTTATCAGACCAAAACGCGGACACATTTCCTTACTCAAGCCTAGTAGTAGATCCTTAATCATCAGCACTGTGCAACAGGATAGCAATCCTCGATTTAAAGCTTTCGTGACTGCAGGGATTCATCTTCTTGGTTCTTTCGGTAAAGTCACGTAGAAGGGAAATAATAAAAATAAAATAATTCTCACGACGTTTCGGCCACAACGCAAGCAGCCGTCCTCAGACCTGGTCTTCACCTGAGGACGGCTGCTTGCGTTGTGGCCGAAACGTCGTGAGAATTCTTTTATGTTTTATTTTTATTATGTTATTACTTCCCTTCTACGTGACTTTACCGAAAGAACTAAGAAGATAGAAATCCTGTTTTGGGTTTCAGTGCAACACCGGTCGGCACCAGATGTCAGGACAAATCAATTTCTTGACGCCCCGATCGCAGATGTCACCAAATTCCTGAAGCTCTCGGGGTAAAGTCTTCCTCCCAACCTCGAACAGAAACGAAATAATTTGATCTGTGAACGCTGGGTCCAAAGTAGTTGTCAGTTTTGACAGCAGCTGCTTCTCACTTTTGCCCAAGAGGTGAGTTTGTGTGGTCACAAGTTAGAATTGCCATCCCAGTGCTGTTTAAAAAAAACAAAGTGGCTGTGAATCAGAATATGGACTTTTTCTGGAGGAATCCGATGACCTATAAAGCTCTTTTTCACAGATGTCCAGTCGGGGGCGAGTAAGAACTTTACAACAACGATACATCACCCGCCATGTGCTTCTGGTCTCAGTCGCGTCCGCCACTAGACGCTCGACTCGTGCTTTAGCAATAATTGAAAAACCCAGCTTCACATTATCAATTCATGAAGGAATCCAGTCAATCGATAAGAATGCTCTTGTGTGTGCAACGTTTTAGCATTGGAGTCATGTAATGTGGCTCAACCTACTCTCTGAGAGTCGTGATGAATTATTGAAAAATGCTGCTCAGTAAATTACTGTTCTCACCTGTGTTACTTGTGTCAGAGGCACAAGCAACTGCGTTGACCAACGTAAACTACTTGCAAATAATGGGAACAAGTAATTTGAAGTCGAGTATCGTGTGCATTCTTGACACTAGATTTGAAGCTTTCGTGACTGCAATGATTCATACTCTTAGGTTTTTTCGGTAACGTGACTTTACCGAAAAAAAACTAAGAGTATCAGTCTTGACACGTTGCGCAAGCAATCCCAATTGCTGTGGAAATCCCTTGCAGGATATAGATGGGTCCCCCCAGGTGCTGAAATACGCTTACTGTATGTATATAGTATTAGTAAATAGTATATGAATGACTGAATTGCATAACGGTCTGCACAATCAAAAGTGAAAACCCTAATAACCACCTTACAGTTCCTGTTTATCACCAAGCTTTACAGCTGCTCTTGCTATCATTTGCTTCATTGATGTATGAGTATTTTATGTTTTTAGTTTTTTTTTAGCTTTTCCCATGTTGGTGACCAAGGAGGTTCACTCTTGCAAAGGAGACGGCCTGGTCTCTTTTGAGTTATCACCTCGTTGAACTGTAAATTGTAACTGTGCATTAGATGCAAAAGTCGATGTTAATTCCAAAGCCACCGTGAGTGGTGGGCGATATCTGAACCAGTCCTGGGTCTCCCCCTTCAACCTGCAATGACCAGCGTGGTGAAGTATGGTCAAACAACCCCCGTGACTGACGTGGCGTATGGAGGTCTTCATCCCGAGGTGCAATGGCAAAGGCTGTACACGTGTATTGTACGTGTTGGGGGTGTCTAATTGTATTGCCTAGTGCAGGGTAGGGGAACCTTTTTTCTGCCAAGGGCCATTATATAATATTTATAACATCATTTGCGGGCCATACAAAATTATCAACTTAAAAATTAGCCTGTTATGTTTGGTCAAAATTGTAACTAACTCACCCCTAATGTGATGGCTGGAACTGCTTCTCTTTGGTGAGGCGTATGATGTTAGCTGGTAATGATGATGTTGCTACTCGCAACTGCTTTTCCAGGTTTGCTCCTAGATGTATTGAATTTCGAGTCCCGCCTTGGCAGGGCCAGACCAAATGATTTCGTGGGCCTTAAACGGCCCACGGGCCGGACATTCCCCACCCCTGGGCCTAGTGTAATGAATTAAATTATAGACTTGTGCGACATTAACAGGTCAACATTAACAGGCAAGTGCAATGACATGAAAAGAACGGTGTTTGCACTTTGAACTGATTCAACTGTACGACTTGAGTCAACAAACACGCACCATCCTGGTGGGTGGATGGAATGAGACTGAGATCAAGTGCAGTGAACTTCCCTTTTCATGCGGGGAATATTCAGCATGGTGACAAGGCGCGGGTTGACTTTGTGGTTGCTGACGTGGGCATTGATTACACCCTTGAGTGAAAGCCGTGGTTTGTTAGCGGTTGCACGCGAGCCCGCCTTCAAAACAACGACTTCTCAAAAATGCCCACGGAATCTAATGAGACACTTGAACTGTGAAGAGAAGACAATGTGGAAGTTAAGCTCACCAGTTGCCACAGAGGCGTCGAGAGATGTGTGCATGCATCCATGGAATTGCACTGAGACAGAAAGAGTAACATGTGTATATGAAACATATACAGGTTAGAGATGTAGTTTTGACTCTGTGTTATTTATTTTAGTGTGTTCTTTCTCCTAATGTTCAAGCTTGCGTACTTTACTACGCTTCTTTTTCCGCACTCATTGACATGTAAATTTTTTCTCTAACCCCCTCCATCTCTCTGCCCCCGCCCCCTCTGCCTATTTAAGGCCACTCCACAGAGACGATCTCCCTCTCTGTGCTTGTGTTACTCTCTCTCTCTATGTATCTTGGTGATATCTGTCTGCTTATATGTCTGTCTATAGTTTTCTAGTTAGATTTTTTGTTGCTATTTCTTTTTAGCCGAAGCGTCGTGAGAATTATTTTATTATGTTTTATTTATTTTATTTTATTACTTCCCTTCTACGTGAC